TGTATCTTTGTTGCAATCAATGCACCTGCTATTTACACTATGCTTAGCCCTCTCGCGAAAGAGTAAAGTGCCGAGGGTGATGAAGAAGCCCAAGTCCAACTTACGATAGCTGAAAGTAGCCGGACGTTATGCCATGGTGAACACGGTTCCAATGGTGTTAGTACACCGTTATCTTTTTTTTTTTTTTTTTCCTTAATTAATTGCGTGACTTTTCTTCTTTATTTTCACATTTTGCGGTTTCACTTTAATTTGAGGTGAACAAAGATTTCGGACATTCATAAATTATGAATTCATGCCTGCACATTTACTTTGGAACCATGCCTACACATTCCCGTCCGAAATCACGGACATTCATAAATTATGAATCCATGCCTGCACATTCACTTTGGAACCATGCCTACACATTCACTTTGGAACCATGAGATTATGAATTTTCTGTTATAAGATTATGAATTTTCTGTTATGAGATTATGAATTTTCAGTTATGAGATTATGAATTTTCTATTATGTGATTATGAATTTTCTGTTATGAGATTATGAATTTTCATTACATTCATAATTTCGGACATTCATAAATTATGAATTCATGCCTGCACATTCACTTTGGAACCATGCCTACATATTCCCGTCCGAAATCACGGACATTCATAAATTATGAATCCATGTCTGCACATTCACTTTGGAACCATGAGATTATGAATTTTCTGTTATAAGATTATGAATTTTCTGTTATGAGATTATGAATTTTCAGTTGTGAGATTATGAATTTTCTGTTATGCGATTATGAATTTTCTGTTATGCGATTATGAATTTTCTGTTATGCGATTATGAATTTTCTATTATGAGATTATGAATTTTCATAAAATTCATAATCTCATAACAGAAAATTCATAATTTGATCAAACGCGCGCCGTTAACTCCACATCCACGAATTTTTTTTTTTTTTTTGCTTAAAAACGACGTCGTTTTGCCTTGTGTTCACCATTCTCGGTGAACGATTCCATGGCATAATTTGCGGAAAGTAGCAGGATGGGCCAATTGAGGAGAAAATCCTTGGTGAAGAAATTCTCGTTTGCATCGGATGAAGGGAGGAACCTCGAGGCTAGCTCTCAATGGAGTGGAGGCGTTCTCGACTTTTGGAATGACATTTCTTTAGCATACCTCTCTTTGTTCTGCACTTTCTGTGTCTTTGGATGGAATATGGAAAGGCTTGGGTACGGTTCTGGAACATGTATGTTCATATCGCAACCTTCCTCTTGTTTTGCATGGCCCCGTTCTAGATCTTCAATTTGGCTGTCGGTACCATCGACAATGACACTGTCCGGGGAGCGTTAGGAGTTACCGAAATATTCCTTTGCGCCTTCGGTTTACTGTATGGTGGCTTTTGGAGGATTCAAATGAGAAAAAGATACAATTTGCCTTCGTATAATTCCTGTTGTGGTAAATCATCTGTTGCCGATTGTGCACTATGGCTATTCTGTTGCTGGTGTTCTCTCACCCAGGAAGTGAGGACTGGAATCTCATATGACATCGTGGAGGATAAGCTCTACAGGAAACGACACGATAATGGCGAACAGCCTCCCATTTCACATTTGCCCCGAGAAGATGGTGTCTTTAGGTCAAGACCAAAAACCGAAAAGTACCACACAAAGTCCGAGCAAATTTGCAATGGAACATCGTAGTCTAGGTACACACTTCCCCGCTATAGACAATGAACCTAATTCGGGAGGTAGCCATGACCCTATGGTGCCTCCTTCTCCCCCGAATAGTTTGCTGTGAATGTAAATCATGCAACTCCTCAATTCATTTTAACGATATGGTCCAATCTCCTTGAATGACAGCACAAATAGTTGAGAAAGATGCTACTTATCTAGTTCCATCTCAACTTCACCGGAGAGGCTCCGGAATGTGTCGCCAACATCTCCCAAACTACTTATGGAACAAATCTAAAAGCCAAGGGTCCTTTTTGTATAAATTAGAAGTCGAGAACCAATTTTAAAAAATCGCAATAGTTAGAGGACCATTGCTGGAATTAACTCTTTTAAAACACTACTAAGGTAGCTTTTCAAAATAAGCTATTATTTGAAGATACTAACTTATTTTGGAGACATTACCAAACAGAGTCTATAGCTTATTAATAGCTTAAAATAAGTTATAAGCTCTACCAAACAAAGCCAATATGTATTTGATTATTTATTAAGACTTATTACTATATTAGTCTTTTCTGCGCAAAAACATATGCATAATATTTATATTTTTTAAAATAACTAACAAACCCCTAATTTAAAAAAAAAAACAAAAAAAAAAAAAACAAACAAACAAATCTCTACTGATTAAAATCTATATGGAATCAACGGGATATTTTTGTCAAAAAAATTATATAGTACAACTCTAAAATCACAATGTACAAAATGATTAGTATTAAAAACATGAACATAAATGAGGGATATAATTTCTATTGAAACTTATTATATTTTTAGATTAGTTATTATGTTCAACAAATTACAAATTACAAATGTTTAAAGTATTCAATTTGTTTTAGTACACACTTATTAACTTTTTCATATTAATAAATTTAAAACTTTTTAAACTCAACAACCCCCCGCCAAGGCCTATGTGCTTAAGACAGGCTAGGCGGCATATTTAGGCCCGTATTTTGACAGGCTTTTTAGCCCACCCCCACCATATAGCGGGTTTTGGCAAGCCTTGTCCCGCCGGTCCATTTCGACAACTCTTTCCCAAACTAAACAAGAGATAGAAGGAGAAAATCAAGCAGATCGACACAACTACTCCATCCATTGGGGAGTTTATTGACAAAAAAGAGTATTCAAATCACACAACAAATTGAAGTGGGAAACTATCTCGCAATGTCCTTGTTTGGCAATCAGCAGTTAGCTCTTCAATATTAGTATATATTTAATATTTTATGCCATAATTTTTATTTGGTCCCCCTTATGTCCCGTATTGATTTCAATCATACCTATACAATTATTTTATTGACAATTATAATCAATCTTGACTATATTATCTTGCATTTGTAAACTTAGAATCGCCTATTTAAATACACAAATTTAACATTCAATTTTCTATGCATGAACAATTCCAATATAATCTTGTCCTGATATACTTTAAAGTACTTATTTAAAAAAAAAAACATTGGACACTATCTCAATCACGCAATGCGCGTAAAAACTAGTAATTAAAGATAAACAGAGTTAATTCTACCACTCATTTCTAATTTTAGTCATTAACTTTTAAAGTTATCAAATTTAGTTGTCAAGTATTTTTATCATTTTCTGAATATAATCCACTATAAGATTTTTCATGTATGAACAGTTAATATTGAAGGTGAAATTAGGATTGCTAGAATAAGTAAATTAAGGCGTTATTTTTAGAAACAATTGGCGCAATGGTTTGACTTTTCAATTTTACCCTCAATTTTATAACGATTCACATTGGGAAAAAACGAATGTTGGATTGCAAATGAAAATGATTCAATACTTAAGGCCGGGTTAAATTTGGTGGCGTTAAAAGTCAATGACTAAAATTAGGAATGTGTGATAGTCAAATGTCTAAATTTGAAATTAACTTAAGATAAAATTACTAGTGGTACACAGTTAGAGTATGAAAACTAATAGAGTTAATACCAGCCATGGTCCTCAGAGTATAGTGGCACAACCACGTACGTTTAGTCTTAAACTTTCAATTTAAACACTTGTGGTCCTTCAACTTCCAAATTGAACCATCCATGGACCTTCAACTTTCAAGTTAACCACTCATGGTCTTTTAATTTTTAATTTTTTAATCAACCATGGTCCTAACTTTACCCTTACGTAAACTAAGGGAAGGACTATGACTGGTTAAATTTGAAGATTGAAGGACCACGTGTGATTAAATTGAAAGTTTAGAACTACACGTGGCGATGTCATTATACTCGGAGGATCACAGCGGGTAATAATCAAATTATTATCCGGGGACCACAAACATGGTAATCTTGATTTGGTGAGTATTGTGCATGTCCCAAATTTAAGGAATCCATGAATGAATTAATCGGCTTAACTAACTTGTTTTAAAGACCTAATTTATTTTAATTTTTAATTATTATTTTATTTATTGTTGAATTATTGTATTGAAATTTGTTAGTAAGTCGTAATACAGCTTTTATAATTTTTTTAAAATTATAGATTATTACTTTATTTATTTATACTTGGGTTTTAATAATCTTTTTTTTTTTTATGTAATAAACATTTTTAATGATTCAGTGTGTCTTTGAATCTGTAATTTGTTTAATTTTAGTACAAAAAAAGTAGTACACGATGAGGTTACTTTTGTCTTTAGCTAGCTTATAAAAGATGCAAACTTAATAGACACCTTGTAATTTAAAAGAAAAATTCGACCTCATTTAGGAAGTACAAACTTACTGGGATGACATCCTTATCCCTAAAATTTAAGTGATACTATTTATTATAACTTAAAAGGTTTTATTTTTTATTTTTATTTTTATTTTTAAAACATGATGCAGCTTGCAATCTATGCAAAATTAGCAAAGCTTGCAGGGAAAAAAGGTACAATGTCATGAGTCGAGAGAGACTTTTTGTTATTTTTAAAATCATTTTTAATATTTTAAATAGTACTCCGTAATAAATTTGATTAAAGATAATAATATTTTAATGTGATGCCTCTTTAATTTAAAAGTGAATTGAAATTACCGAGATGTAAAGAAAATAGTAAACAAAATGTAAATTTAATGATTTGAGAGTAGTTAAGACACACTTTTAAAAGTGAGAAAGTATTGTATGGATACACTTGTTATACTATGGACCAGATCTACCTTGCAAGGAGGACTCAAATTTAAATTACACAATTTACATATTAAATGTTCACAATTATATACACAATTTACACTTAATGTCACAATTATATACACAATTTACATTTCACAATTTAACTTTTATAAAATTGTGAAAATTCAATATGTAAATTATGTATTTTGTACGGACAGAAATTTGCAGCAGGGATAAGGAAGGGTAGCCTTAAATTGCTAAACTTGCTTAGCTACCTCAGACTCTCAGAGACAGATGGATCAATGATGATGTCGATTTCTCTGTAAGAAATAGCTGAGGATACCGAAGGTGGCTGATAAGATTGATACGAAAACTGATATCAGGGACAGCACCACAGCGCAGGTTACAAATTTAGAGTACCATGGTTTGAGATGATACTTAATGATGTCCAGTTTCACCTTTCGAAGATGGGTGCTGGTGAGTGGGAGGAGGAGCGTGTCCGTGGAAGTACCGTCGCCGGCACACGCCACCTTTTTCAGATACACGGCTACCTCGTCTACCAGGATTTTACGATGAGGCTCCACTTCAATCACTCCCTTCCGTCCTAACAGCGCAGCGTCTTGGTCGCTGCGAACAATATCGCACAGAAACCGCAGATAGTCACTTACCTCCTTTTCCCTTAGGCCCTGATCATTCTCGTAAGCTTTCAGATATGTGTACATATCCTTCGTCATCTCATTGAAAGTGAAGACTGGCAAATGAAGGACCTTCCCTATGAGCATGCGATCCTTGATCTGAATCTCCCTAATTGCCATGCCGCTTACCGCCTTAAAGTCGATACCTTTAGAATACATTGATGTGGCACTCGGGATCCTTTGATCATCATCATCCTTGGGGTCCAAATAATTTCTGTTAATCCCGACTTCTAAATCAACGTTGCCATTTTGGTAATGGTGACGACTACTCTCTTCAACGATCTCGCCTCTAGCCGTCCCAACCCATCGACAGTGGAGCCCATGAAGTACGTCTGTATACTCTTTACTCGGATCAGAATATGTGCTACCGCTGCTTCGACTCATTTTGAGCACAGGGTCCAAGATCAAGTCATAAAGGACAGTTTTGAGTAGATCTGAAGAAGGTGGATTTTTCCAATCCTGCTTTAAAGCAAGCTTCTTAAAAAAAGAATGGTGGATCAGTTTATTGAGCACAACCAGTGGAATTTGGTTGCCAGGAAACACCATACCCTTAGAGAACTTCCTCTTCCTATTTTCGTAGTCATTTTCATCGCTGCCAAACAGGATCTCATGGAGTCCACCCTCAGTTTCAAGTTTATCTACCCCCATTCCAAGAAAAAAGAACATTTGCAGGAGGAATAAGCAACCGTGTTTTATCATCAAAAATTTAAAGGGGTTTGCCATGTCATTATCATCATAAGCACTCATTGCTTCTTCTATAACTTCTCCAATTTTACTCAAGTAGTACTCCTTTATTAGATTCTCTTCTTGATCCCCTTGTGTTTCTTCTGTGGTATTCTGGTTGCCTGTTGCTTCCCTAATTTCTAGGACATTTTGATCAATATTACTGCCGTTGGGTTCCTCTGTCTGTCCTTGCATCTCATCACTGCTTTGTGCCAGCTCCGTTACATTTTGGTTGCTTTGCGAAAGTTCTGTGACATTTGGATCCCCATCCCCTTCATCTATTTGAGTTGCTTCACTAATTTCTGGGACATTTTCTCCCTCTCCAGAATTTCGCCTCATGCCAGTTTGATTGCCTTGTGTTCGCGCTTCCACATTTTGATCAATATTACTGCCGTTGTGTTCCTCGGTCTGTCCTTGCATCTCCTCAATGTTTCTCCCGTCTTTATCATTGTTGGTTTTACGACTTAGGGCAGATGGACAGCAACGGACAAAAGTGGTAAGTAGACAAGAGGATAACCTCTGGCAACGACTTTTTCCTTGTTCTATAACTTCTCCAGTTTTTCTGCTTTGTGCCATCTCCGTGACATTTTGGTTACTTTGCTCTAGTTCTGAGACATTTGGATCCTCTATAGTATATTCTTCTTCATATATTTGAGAGTCTTCCCTAATTTCTAGGACATTTTCTTCCCTTCCAGAATTTTGCCACATACCAATTTGACTGCCTTGTGCTTGTGCTTCGACATTACTGCCGTTGTGTTCCTCTGTCTGTCCTTGCATCTCATCACTACCGTGTGCCAGCTCCGTGACATTTTGGTTGCTTTGCTCAGGTTGATCAGTAATTTCACTACTGCCTGTTGCCTGCTCTATGATATTACCAATATTATCATCGGTTATTTGTTCCAGATCAGATTCATCGCCTCTCATCTCTTTCATGAGATCCGGATCGAGTCTCGTCCTTTTTATGAGATACTCCCAAGCCACTTCTGCAACTGGTCTTATCCTTTGATGTTGGCTGTCTCGAAGAACATCTTGCTCGGCTACATACAAGGGACCAAATGCATATATTTCGCCCTTCTGGAAGAGAGAAACTGTATTTCCATCCTTGCGTTTGATGATTCGACGTTTGGGAACATGAGACTGTGACATGGATGAGAACTTGTATTTGATTAATTGTAAAACTAAACTATTTATTTAAATAAATATGTATAAGAAAGAGTCACAATATAACTTGAACTCAGTAGACTGGCCGGCTAGCGAGTGCCAAGTCCTCCAAAATTACCTGGGCGCGTTGCGTGCTTGAAGACGGATCCAAAGCCTGCTTGGCGGAATCCCATATTTCCTTTGACGTTTCACAATCCACCGCCAAGTACATGACCTCCTCTGATAGGGAAGAAATCAACATCGACATTATTGCTTGATCTTGTTGCACCCACGAAGCATATCTCGGATTTGATACTGAAGCAGACGACGATGAAGGATCATCAGAGGTAGACAGAATAACCTGCGACGGACAGGCCATTGAGCCATCAACAAATCCCATTAAGTTCTGACTCCGTAGAAACGGTACAAGCTGTGTCCTCCATAATACAAAGTTTCTGGAAGTCAACTTGGTGCAGACAAAGTGATGTGCTGTAGACAAGGAGTTCGTAGCAACAGAGACATTCCGTTCGGAAGGAACCACAGCAGATCCGCCAGAAGCAACAGAATTGGCAGCCATGGCAGAGAAAGCCTAAACTGCTGATATAAGATGAGATTTGATTAATTGTAAAACTATTCCACTCTACAACAATAAATAAATACGTACAAAAAAGAGTCATAATAGTATAACTTTTTGTACAGACCTTTTTTTCCCTATTTGAACTAGACAAACTTTTCATCTATTTACGTCAAATTATACAAAAAAATTATATTTAAAATTTTTGTTGTGAACATCAAAAAGTTTTTGCCGGTTCACAACAAATTTTTTGAACCCAAACAAAATCTAGTTTTTGTTCGTAACAATAACAATAATAAAAGTTTAAATACAATTGAGTTTTTTATTTTATATACTTATTTAGTGAAATGGATTGCTATTCTCTCTTTATTTATAATACACTGGTGTCAATCAATTTTTATTTTTAGTTTTTGCATACATTAATTTATTTATGCTTTATAAAAATATATTATATATTATAAAAAATTTTAATATGAAAAAGTTATTAAAAGTTTATAAATGTTTGTTATTATGCAGACTTTTATGAACTCGCACATGGTTTATGAAAGCTTAAAAGATTCTATGAAATTTTGAAAAGAGTTCATAAAAGTCATTTAAAATCTATCACTTTAGAAGTGTTTGAAAGTATATAAAGATCTTAATTGAATACACCCTTAAGCTATTAAAATCAAAAGATCAATAGCTACATTAAAAGCAAGCACCATAAATTCATGTGCCTAATCACTAATCCAAATTTCACATAGTATCAATTAAGAGGCAAATTTGTCCATGTGTAAAATTCTAAACTTCCGTCAAAATAAGTAAATCGACAATAAAATAAGCCAATTTTTCTACATTACATGCAAAATAAGTTCATCCATGTATATTCTATTTTTCCTTTTAAAAAAAGTATTTCTTTCTCTGTAAGCACACAATTAAGCATATTTTTCTACATAATAAAGACGAATGTGGGTGTCTACAAATTTGAATGCAGTAATAAATCAGTTCACAATTTGAGCGCAAACAAAATCAACATGAGTGCACACTTTTAAAACCCCGCACAATAAGTAAGTGCACACAATAGCACATGTGTGCATATATGAACCCAAAGACAAGAACAACTGACAACGATTTGGCATAAATTATGACATACACATTAACAAATCAACAATGCACACAACAACTAACTTATTTAGATTAAATGTGCACACTGAAATAAAAACACACACACAACCCTAGAATGCACAGAACACTACAAAGCAATGCATAGATATCGGATGCCTTAGGCCCCAGATGCACACAAATCTATATTAGAGTGCAAACTAATTGAATATGAAGTGCACACATAAGGAATTGGAAGTACACAATCCTACCCAAAAAATACAATCTTACGAGAAAATATATTCTTACAAAAAATATACCTCTTAAAATCATGCATAACATCCACAAATAATAATATCAGGATTCTAAATGAGCACAAAATTATTAACTGAGCCCTCCATAAATATATGTAAATAAATAATCCAACAAATCTAAAAATATTATGACCATACATAATCCCGTGATCAAAGGCCCATATTAGTCATTAGTTCTCATGTGGGTAAGGGTTCTCATATTATCATCAATATATATATATATATATATGTGTGTGTGTGTGTGTGTGTGTGTGTGTGTGTGTGTGTGTGTGTGTGTGTGTGTGGCAGGGCTCTAGTGAGAACGATTAAGAGTTTATATATGTGTGTGTGTGTGTGAAAATACTCTTAGTCGTTCTCACTAGAGCCCTGCCTTACATACATACATATATATATATATATATATATATATATATATATATATATATATATATATATATATATATATATGTATGTATGTATGTATAGTCATTCAATTGAAAAGATCTAATGAATTAGAACTAATATTTAAAAAAAAAATCGGTGACATTTTTTTTTTTAAATAACTCAAATTTTAAAGTCCAAGTAACATGTGTTAAAATTACAAGTAAAATTGCAAGTGTGCAAATAAAATTACTTAAAAGTACAATCATTTGCACTTAATAGTGCAAATAAGTTACTTTTCATATTGGAGCACTTAATGATAATGATTGGTGCAACTAATGATAATGTTAGGTACACTTATTGTTGCACATTTAATACGTTTACTTGCACTATTATTGTACTCTATGAAACTGTTACTTGTATTTTTAACATATTTTACTTGCACTTCAAATTTCGAATATTTATAAAAATATCAATGCATTTTTAATTTTTTTTGATCTGATAGATCTTTTCAAATTAATGGATGTGATAGGTTTTTAATTATATATATATATATATATATATATATATATATATATATATATAGTTGTAAATCACTCTAGTTTAGTATTCATTTACTAACTAGATAAGAGTAGACCTTTATGTCAATATGCAATAGTTCAAAAACTATTCACTATACTAGCATATATGTATGCACTTGAGTGTTAAACCTTGACGCAACTCAATAATATTAATTGTGGCACTCAAGCTCTCTCAACTCTCTCCTTGTAATACTTTCCCCTCCCAATCTATATATTGTGAACAAACCTCTAATTCAAGTATATAAATATGTTGGTGGTGAATAAGTCGATATATATATATATATATATATATATATATATATATATATATATATGGAAATAGGGATTTATAATCTTGCGAAAATATTTCTAACCAAAAACTAGTACGAAACAAGCAAGTTCGAGTTTTTTTCTCAAAGCAAAAACGACTAAAATAGATTACTGCAAAAGAGTTGAAACAAAGTCAGGGGGACCGAGTCCCAGTACAAAGAACTAGCCTGATGCAAGGCTTTAGACGCTAGAGCATGCATGTGCAACCAAATTTAACTGTCTAGAAATTAAACTAAAAGAGCAAACAGAAAACGATGACAAAAGATCCAAACAATCATTAATAGCAATCCCAACATGAGATCTATGCCTGACTGTAGAGGTAGTTAGATAGCAAAGAAGAACCGAACAGTTAGTGTGGAGAAACACCAAAGCAACGCCACGGTCCTTGAGCCACAAGAGAGCTTCCTTGCAAGCTAGGGACTCCGCCATGAGTACGTTGGAGCAGTACGACAGCTGACCATTAACACCGATTCGCTACCTCCCAAGGGTGCTAGGAGTGTTGTAGCGTCAGTCTCTCAGAATAAAATAGATTACGACTTTAGTTTTTGAGCACTCGAACATAATGTCTGACAAACTAGAACAAAGATCGAGCACCTTGACTATTTTATAAAAGTGTTGGGCAGATTTTTGTAGGAAACGATTTTGAGATAATAGGAGAGAAAAATCAAAATTTTGAGAGTTCAAAATTAGCAGGAAATCATATGTCCAACACCAACGTGTTTATATAAGAGATTTGAATTAATAGCATTAATAAATGACACATAAATCCAATTTAATAAACGGATTATAACATTTAAAACGATCATCCTTATTATCAAAATAATATTTGCGGTTACATAATTAAGTACAAGTAATTCATACCAACCATTAATAATATGTTTCAAAACACCCGAGTAACCGAAAAATTCATACAGTCCGAAGAGTAAATTGACTCTTCGGACGTTTCGAAATTAACCGAGAAGTCACAATACGAATAGTGGAATTTGCATTGCAAGCACCGAAAAGTGATTTAATTCCCCAACTATTCGTAAGCTTCCATATAGCAACTTAAGCTTAATATTAGGCCTTGTTTGGTAAATGACTGTTAGCTATTAGCTGTGTTGGTTTTACGGCGTTCGGTAGCCGTTCGGTGGGCCAATACTACCGTAAAATACTTAGGGTGTTTTGTCACTTTGTGAGTGAAAGACTTAGCGAAGCTGAGAGAATAATGTGATATTATTTCTCTAGAGTTTCGGCCATTCGACCCTTTTACATGGTGATCCCATGGGGATATTTATACAAGGGTACAAGATTCCTACAAGGAAAGTAGGGCTGACTTGGAGCACCACTAGTTAAGGAATCCGGCTTTCTTAATGCCATAAATGTCTAAGTTAATAAAGGAAGCTACTCGCATTAATTAAGGAAAGAGATCTCCACGAAATCTGCTTGTAACCGCCTTTGGGCGAGCACTTAGCCGGGGACGCCTTGACTGCCTAAGAGATGGCTCGAGGAGGGGCCGCGATACTCGGGTGAGGACACCCCGAACGCTGAGCCTGGTCGCCCAGCTGAGTTCCTGAGAGGCACCTGATCAGGGACACACCGCCGACACGGATCCCAGGAGGGCATCCGGTCGGGACACACACCGATTACCGGG